CCATATCATGTTGTTGTGAGGGCCCCGCCTGGCCGGTTCTTCCTCGTGGTACTGTCGTAGGGCCGCTAACAGGTTCGGCGCGTCGCGCCCCAGCAGCACCTTGCATGGCAGCTTAGACATCCGGGCCATATGAACCTCGAAGATTTGCCTGAGGTACTGCACGGCAGGTCCCGCATCATGGTTACTTGCGCCTGTTGTTGCTGTTGCGTGAGGTCTCTCATTAATTGTGCCTGATGTTTGGCCTAGTTGTGCCAGGTCCATGGCGTCTTCGGCCCCTGGCGTCCGGGGAGGGCGGGTCTTGACCGAATCCTGGCTGGATGTAGAGTCGCCCGACTTGTCTGATGACCCTGCGTCCCCTGCGGGAGCGGAGATGAAGGTACTCAGCCGGCTAGCGGGTGGCTGCCACCCTTGTGGAGTGGGCAAGTGCGGTAAGGGGCGCTGCAGCGGGCCGACGGTGCCCGCATTCTCCACCACGTTGTGGCACCCCTGCTGCTCCCGGGCAGGACTGCCACCCGTCGCCGTGACGTCTGAAGGGTGGACCGAACCCTGAACCTCCCCAGGGCGTTGGGAGTGCCCTGGAAGTGGAGTGGAAATGGTTATTCTGGAGGAGGGTTTGCCTCAGATGTCGGACCTTCAGGAGGTTACTTCACCTCCCCAAGCCCGCTCTGGGTCTGGTCAGCCGTGCGTGAATGCTGACGCTCTCTCTCTGTCCTAGCAATCACTTCGTGCCTTCAACCAGCCCAGCAAATCCTCCCTGGCTCGCCTCTCATCCGCTTTTATTTCCAACTCCCCTCTGGTCACACCCACCGCCCTAGCTCCGCCCCCGTTCATAAGTGTGGAAGCCGAAGCGTCTGCCTCCACCCCGTCAACTCCCGGCTCCCCGGAAGCCCGACATTGTGGCGTATGCGCTCCGGCGTTCTCCGGGGCCCTCGGTGTTGAACGTGGGCGGTTCCGTGCCCGGCCGGCTCCTTCGCCACAGGGACGGCCGCCTGGCAGCGGCGTCACCCCGGCGCCTCCCTCCGCCGTGCTGTGCCCCGTCACCGAGCCGCCAGCCGAGGCTCCTCCGTCGGGACGGTTGCAGTTATGCTGCGGGGCCAGTATTGGGGTCGTGCCGTTGGGTATCTTTGTGGCCCACCCCGGGGGCCCCGGGAGGTCCCCAGGAACGTCCCGGGGGCTACCGGGACAGGGCTACCCTTGAGACTGACTCAGAAACTCCAACTGATTGAGACTGCGGCGCTGCAGGTCCTTACTGGGACCCACAAATGGCACATTCAACCTGTGCTGTGTGAGCTGCACTGGCTTCCAGTGATGTATGGGATCAGGTTCATGGTGTTGGTAGTAACCTTCAAGGCCCTACACGGTCTGGGACCCGCATATCTTTGGGAGCACCTCTCCTGGTATACCCCTCAGCGAGCATTGCGCCCAGTAGATAAGAACCTACTGGTGGTCCCTGGCCTGAGAGATGTCCAGATGTCCTCAACAAGGTGAGGCCCAACCTGGTGAAACTCTCTGCCAAATTACATCTGGGCCCTGTGGGATCTAATGAAATTCCTGAGGGCCTGTAAGGCACAGATGTTCCGCCAGGCCTTTAGTTGAGGGCAGCAACGGTTTTTCCATCTGTCTGGTGCTCGTTTTCCTCCCCCCCCCGTGGGGCAATAGCATCATTGATTGTCTTAATGCCCCCTTTTAGGTTATTTAATGTGTTTTACTGGATTTCTATTGTTTTATGTTTAACTAATATATGTATATTTTATTGCTGTACACCGTCCTGAGCCCTGTTCCACAGGGAAGAG